AAAAATGTACAAAAACAACATATTGTTGCGTCAGCGAGTCACATGACCACGTGACGCAACGTTTCTAGAATTATCATGTACTTTGTCGAATGTTCAAGTTCTTACTAGAAATAGGTTACGCTGGTATAAAAGGGGGGAAGGTAATGTGTGTAGAGATAGTGAGTAATTGATCTGCGGTCGGAGTATTATTGACGTTCGTTGCTATAGCGTTTGTTTAGCGCGATTGTTGAGTGTATCGGTTAAGTTATATTCGGAAAGAATAAACCAGTTTTATTAAGTAAAGACTTGTGTCGTTAAAATTTCGTCGGAACGAAGTTACGGAAAAATCAATAAACGAAACGGAGACGTAACAATATGTTCAAATGCTAGTGTTTATAGGGATTACTGCATAAGCATGATATGTTACCCTTTTACTAGTGGAGAGCTATAGCCTAATGATGATTACATCATAGGGTGATGCAATACATGTTGACACATGTAGGAGTGGGAGTTTTGTTCAAAGCTTGTAGCATGCATAGGAATTTACATGCCAGTGCAGTAAGGTAATGACTCTTTGTGGTGCAGGGAGGTGAATATCTATCTGAAATACATTTACAAGTAAGGAAAATGTTAACTTTCCTGAGGTGATAAAAAATTGGGATAAGGGAAACAAAATTGTGTGCTGGTTAGAAAGTTTGCCAAATGAGGCACTTCTTCTCTTGTGCAAAAGAATATTAGTTTTTTTCTTACAGTTTCCATCGCATATTCCTCATAATGGGTACTTTCAACTTAAAAATTGATAAAAGGAATCTTAAGCTATATGAAGATTGGTATACCATAGCTCACTAATCCTGCTAAATTATATTTGGGATAAAGCCACCTTAAAAACAAAATGTTCACCTTATATTCAACAAGTACTGGAAAACAAGACCTCTTGAAGTTCTTAGTTGTTTAATCACCTCATTAGGGTTATCCTTATATAAATTTTTAATTGTTTAATCACTTTATTAACCCTAGAATGCCAGCATGGTTAGTTTACTATACAGATTTAATTTGTATGGAGGTCATAGTGACCCCCACACTGTAGCATTCTAGAATTAAGCTTGTACAGTGGCTTTAATACTAACCCTGCAATGATTTTGGACAAGCTGCTTCTTCCCCACAGAGTGGTGATGTGTGTTCGAAAGATCACATAAACATTCAGAAAGCAAGGGTGCACAACTTTTTTTTAAGTCATTGGTTTCTCAGCCAGATGACTATCCTAGCTGGCTTGTTACTTCAACCTAGCAATCAGGAGGCTGTTGTTGGCATTATGGTTAACCATTGCAGCCATGAAGCTGCACATCCCCATCGATTACTTGGTGTCAGGTATTTTATTGCCTGTCTCTAGATATACTCATTCCAGGCAGTGCCTTGCATGGAAACATACAGGAATTTACCCAGCACTTCAACAATTTTTATCTCAACCACTGGCAAAGAGATTGGCCTTGCCTCCACCACAGGTTCACATGATTTGATGTCCTTTTCATCAGGGAAGTCATCAAGACCTTTGGTTCTGTGATATGTGAAGTTTTCAAAGCACCTCACCCCTCATCTCAGAGAGGATTTGCCACTTGAACAACAGTTAAAATGATTCCAATTGACTGTGTTTCTTTTCTCCTACTTTGCATGGAGAAGAGGGCACATGCTTTGTCACTTGATGGTAATTCGGGTTTCTGAGGTGAACTTTATCAACCTGCAATTCCTTCTTTCTGGTGAGATAATTGGATACTTCTCAAGGTTATTTCTTAGCTTAGTGAGTGTCTTAGCTCAGTGTCTCTTGTCTTCCGCAACCCTCTGACATGCAGAATCCACTGTTGAAATTTAACCTCAGTGGAAGAACTTTGTAAGGCCTTCTGGGTATTCCAGAAAGTCATCAGTATCCTCAGTTGGTGGCTGTAAGGACATGGCCTGTATGAACCTTCACAGTAACAGCAAAAATCCTGCATCCAGGAGAAGGCTTCTCCTGTATCTGACAACTCTACATAATTTCTACCCTCCTTCAGCATACCATCTTCACTCATCCTTTCAGGTGCACCTACTGTTTTACTTATAAGCCTGTGTAGTTTCTTCACCATTCTTGTTAGTAATTTACTAGATCCTTTTGCCATGGTACCAAAATTTCTCCTTTCTTTTCTACTCTTTGGTATCCCATTATTAGACCTGCTAATAACTGGAGGTTCACAAACTTGGGTGTATATCTCCCAGTGAGTTATGACAGTTGACACAAAGAAAGAGACTAGACATATTTACACAGAGAACAAATGTTTAAAGATAATATCACAATTTAAAATGCAAACAATGCACTACAATACAGTAATAAACAGCTGTTAAGTTCAAAGGAGGGCAAGTGATTTTGTGTTTATGTGTATAATAGTGTGGGACTGGCAAACGCAACAAAGATGAAGATTCAATGAAGAACAATGAAGATTCTTTCCCCTGTATCTTAGGCTAGAATATAAAAGAGAGTGTCCCAAATTTAAAATATAAGAAATAAAGTTAACCATTGCTTTAATCTCTATGATTTCACTGAAACAGTAATAATCAATAATTTAAATATAAACCTATGCTCCACTATTCTGTGAAGCAACTTATACGAGTTTACTAATGGCAAATGTAAACAAGTTAATTAAGCTACAGGTGAAAGCCAAACAATGACTGCATAAATGAAAATGAAAGTTAACCTTAATTTTGGAGAAAACTCCAGTTCTTCGAGAGCAGAAAATCCAAACACACATATACTAATCTGTTACCAAAAATGAGAATTTTAGGAAATTTTGCATACTGCATAAATCTTATGCCAAAATCTAATATTCTGTGTGATTCTATAGAAATTGTATATCTGCATAAAATTTTGCTCTCCCAAGCCCCAACACTGTGTTAAATATTTAAATAAACCATCGAGCTCCTGAAAGAAGAAAATAATGATTGGTTCTTGTTAGATCAGCTGGCCAATGGGCAGTAGAGATTGAGGATTAGTCCATTCATAACTGTCATCATCCAATTTGCTGTCAAGAATAACTCGGCTCAGTAACTAAAAAAAACATTATTACTGCAAGAGAACTGGACAAGTAACTGTGGAATGATGTAAAGCAACATAATTTGGAAAATTTAAGTTTTTAACTAAAAGGGTGGAAAACAAAACGTATATCCCTGTACTACATATATACATCTACACACAGACATACATTCAATCTTTTTTTTAGACTGAACATAATCCTGTTTTTCACTATGGTTAAGGAGCTGGATAGCCTAATAGTATATATCAATGTACAAAATACATGAATTACAAATTATAAGTTTTAGAAACAAATTACTCTTTTATGGCCAGGTAGTCTTTCAAAGACTAGGTAGAAAGCTTTATGGTCAATGTTTTAATGGTGCTGGTTTAGCATCTCTTTTCATGAGTATAATTTTTATCATTTTTTTCAAAAATTGCTGTTTTAGGTTTTTTAAATTCAAGTGTTTTTTAGTTCCATTTCTGAAATATTTTATCAAAAACAATTATACAGTTAAAGACAGTTTTGAATTTACTTTATTTATAAAGACTTAAAATTTGATGATAAAGTTTTGTATGATAGTTTTAATGTAGTGTCTTTACGTACAAACATTCCACTTAATGAAGTAGCCAAATTGAAGATTAATGGCTCGACTAACTACACCTCTCACAAGTTATCAAGTTTGCTACCAAACAATCAATTTATATTTTCACTGGTGAACTTTGTGATCAGATTGATGGTATTGCCATGGGGTTCAGATTAGCCTCCAGTTTGGCTAATTTGTTCCGACGTAAAATGAAAAGATTTGGTTAGAAATCTGTCCAGTGAATACAAATCATCTACTGTACATAAGGTATGTTGATGTTACTTTCATAGTCTTTAACAAGAAGTTTCATATTAAAATATTTTTGGATTATCTCAACCAACACTCTGAATGTATTAAACTTACAATAGTAAAGAAAGTGAATTCAGAACTTCTCATTTTAGAAACAAAGATAAATGGTTTGAAGTTGTCTATTATCACAAAATTACTTTTACCAGTTTATGTTTTAATTTTGAAAGACTTATTCTAAACAGCTTTAAAAATAACTTAGTGTACATTCTAACCCAGTTATGGAGTAATGTTTTGTACTACCAAAATAAACTAATGAAGATCAGTATGGTATTACTGAAGAATAACTTTCTGTTGAAAGTTGTAAACAGTGTAATAAGGAACTAAAGTGATAAAAATGACACTACCAGTGCTGCCATTAATAGCATGTCATCTTCTCTGCTGACCCTCATTCTACCATATCTGGTCAGAGAAACATGTAGCTTAAGGAAAAGGTATAAGAAAATATTATCTATAAGTTGACATCAGAATTATTTTCAAACCACAACTAAGAATTTGGAGTTTTTTAGCATTAAGGACAGAATTAATATTCTAAAATGATAATATGGGATTTAGTTCAAATAAAAAAGTACTTTAGATCAAGGAATCTTTTTATATGAAACTACTGAAATCAAAATGTACATAAATCAGTGTATTTCACATTATGGCTAAAAAGGTGAGCTGTTATTGTCAAATTATGATCTTTTAAAATCAAAGTATATAGTTAGCAAAGAAAAAAATGTATGTTAATAAATTCTAACCTTAGTTTCTTTATGTATTAGGAAAAACATAGAAATTGTTGCTGATGTTGGAAAATACCCCGAGTGGCACTACAGTGCTATTCTGACAGAAGTTCTTCCTTTTGTGGGACAAATAAAGCTGCATGCTGATTTCCAAATCAAACCTGCTGGCAGAGATTTTCTCATTATGACAAATTATTATTCATGCAAATTGTTTATGTGTGGTAAGTTACATGGCAAGAAAATCAGTACGGTAATAACCAAGTGGTTAAGGGTCGTGAGATCAAAACCTAGTGCCAAGTATGTTTGCCTTTTCAGTTATAAGGCAGTTATAATGTGATGGCCAATACTACTGTTTGTTGGAAAAGAGTAGACCATGAATTGGTAGTGGGTGCTGCTGGATGTTTGCCTTCCCTGTGGTCGGCAGTTCAAACGTAGGGAAGATAGAAGATAACCTTAGTAGCTTTGCCATAAATAAACAAGCAAACACCACTTTAATATTAATGCAAGTTATGGTGTGATAACTGAAGCTTAACAGTAATATTTTGTAACTAATCTTATAACTTAAACAAGGCTTAATATTTTAACCATTTGAATATTCAATTTGTAACATTATGACAATTTTTAAATGAAAATTAATTCTAATAAACATAATAAGAACATGTTTAAAGCTTGACTTTTAACAGTGAAAAGAAGAAAATCATAATTGGTGTTAGAAATCACATTAGGCTGCAGGTTTGTTTCAACATCCCTTTTAATTATTCTATTGTAGATTTCAAATGAAACCATGTAAAATGGCATTTTAAATCTATCTTTTGTCTACCACAGGTTGATTCGCTGATATACCAGAATTTGTAACCTTAATTGTGCATCATGGCTGATATGTATATCAAAATTGCTATTTGAATTGAAGTATCTAACAATGTTACAGTATTAAATGCCAAATGATGTCAAACAAATGAAACCAATAGGTATCATATTTTTTTTTATAAAAAACACTTTAGACTGCAGATTGTTTTCCACAATACTCTGAATTATTCAAATGCACTAATTTGAAATAAAATTATGAATTAACTGTTAGCATTCAGTTTTCATTATAAATAGTTTCTAATTTCCTAGTATTCATATCTGTTTGTATTTTTGTAGAAGTCATACATGCTCCACACATCTTGCATTGAAGGTATTATGTAGCTTTCATTTCTTAATATTTACCAAGCCTAGTAATTGACAGACATAGCTCTAAGCTAGTGGATGTCTAGTAAATATAAACAAACTTTTGGGTAAACCAACTGAGGTTTCTGTAATAATTGTACTTGAGACAGATTTAACTGTAAATTAACAAATATAACTATGTAAGTGAAGTACTAACAGATTTATCTATAAACTACTGTATGTGTCTTTTGCAAGTGTCCTTTTGATAGATTTAACTATAAATTAAAGATGTTCTGAAGGAACAGTTCATTCTAGTAATTTAAATTTCAGTTTTCTTGTGCATTGGTCCACAATATTATGTTCTTCAAATTTGTTTATTCATTAATTTATGAGTTACTTTTGAGCTTTGATGTATAAAGTTAGTTTACTTTTCATCAGAAGTTATTGGTAATTGAAAAAAATGATCTTTAAACTGATGAATAATTCTTTAGTCAGTTACCATTGACAGGTTTAACTATAATCTAATGGATAAATCTTCATTAAGTATATCACAGCTGCATGATATATACTACTGATATATTTGCAGCTGAATACATGCACTAAAAAGACTGCAGACAAATGTATCATGTAAATGGTGTAACAGAGTGAACTGTATTATAATGTTTTTTTTTTTCATGTTATTTTTCTTAACAGTTTATGTGAACAGTTCTTTGACTTTCAAGACAACAGATAAACAAGGAACAACTGTCACAGAGGTGCTTGTTATACGTATGCCTTTCCTATTAAATTGGTGCCTTGGCTTAAGAGCAGTGGAGGAATACCATAAGACATGGTTGAAAAACATTAAACACCATCAAGAAGCCATGGGATAGATAAATGACCAAAACTGTTGAAACTGATATATACGTGTGCTAAAAGTTTAACTTCAAATATATATGTACATTAATGAACTATAATTTTCTAGTGAATTTTTTTTTGTTTTGAATATATAAATATATTATATACCTTAGCTTCAATAACAGTATGAAGAATTTTTAGTTTCCTTTAGCAGTATGCTACTAATTGTTTTATAAAGGCTAGATTATCAAATCTTAGTACATTTCCAATAATAGAAAAGAAAACTGTAAATTGAAAACACCTTAATATACCTTAAACTAAAATAAAGAATTTCTGTGATGACTGTTCTTTCTTCAATCTAACTGGGCTTCCAAATTTTGATTATACATAATTTTTGGCTAGTCATGATGCACAAGGATTTTTTATTGTAGTGTATCACTTAAAGTGGCAAGATTCATGGTTATACAAAAAAAAGGAAGAAAAACTTCAGAAGGTGCCCAATGTCTGGATATCTATTCTGATCACAGCTATGTTGCATGTAAACTTCAGGACATTTTTTTTGAGGATTTTATATAAGCAAAATAGTGTAACCCACTCACATTTAAAATTGATAAAAAAGAAATGACTGCTGTAAAAAATTGTTGATTTTAATTTTAGATACAACAAATTATGACACGTTAGGTATCAGTGTTATTGGTATTTAATGTATTATCTAAGAAAGAAACCAAATAAAACATGAAATAAGTATGATGTCACTGGATTTCAAAAGGTCACATCCTCATCTTCAAAATCACAGATTATGAGGCACTTTTTTCAATAAGTATTATTTTCTTTACAAGTAAATTAGGATAAAAAGTTTTATATCTATTTCCCAGAGTTTCAAAATGTTTTTTAAAACCTCCAAATACTCATATTGATCTAAATCTTTTCTAGGGGGAGTAATTTAAGAAAAGAAAAGTTTCATATTGTGAATGACAAGTGTTTCTTTTTAAATAACTTATTGAAATTCATGAATTTTCCTTTGAAGAGTTTTCACATATTTCCTTGTCACATCCATGGGCATTTGTAAATAGTTTTCTCTTTTGCGCAAGCACCTTCACGATTCATGAGTACTTTGAAATTTATACTATGTGAACTGCAAGACTGCTTCAGGAACTAGTAATTTTTTTCATAATTTCTATCAAAATGTCACTATCAGAGAGCTCATAACCATCAACACTGGGCAAAGAAAAGTTTTGTTAAGTGGTATTCAGACAAATAAAAGCTTGATTGTTAGCTCATTTAGTATGCTCTAAGAATGCATCACTTGTAGTTGAAAGTGTATCACTTGAGAGTTTTTTTTTGGCAAGCATTTCATACCTCTGTGTGTCCAGGGACAAGGGTGCACCTACTTTACCAGTGTACACCAAGAAAAGTGAGCTTCTTGCATGCTTCCATTACTTTCTTAGTGATGTTATCAGGGTTTCTCCTGAAATCACAGAAACTTGCTGTTAGATTTAGGTGAATGACAACAGCATTTAGCCTTCTTTGTTTTCCAATGTCATTGAATGACCTGGATGAGTCAAAACCAGTAAATGAATGAATTGAATGTAATATTACCCTCAAAATTTCCCTGAGGGTAGTGATGTTATCATGTCTGAAAGTGAATATATTTTTTTGCTTTATCCATGTTTTTATGAGGAAAAGTTATATGCTTAGCATGAAATGATAATGTGAACACGTAGCTGTGACATCTGAATCAATGCCCCAAACAGTTACTTATTAAAGGTTGAAGTTTCTACTCTGAGTACTTAATGTGACAAAACATTTTAGAGCCAGTTTATATATGGTCACACTAGGTATTCTACTTCAAAGCTTTAAAACTGCCAGTAAGATATAGCTGCTGGTTATCTTTGAGAGATAACTTGCCCTTATCCAAACATTCATCCAAAATTAGTATTCCAACCCCACTGTTTGCCCTATGTATTGCTGACAATGAGTTCTACTCAATCCAGAACTCATCAGACTGGCTGGGACACAATAAATATAGTAATGGTCATAACACTATTTATATAAGCCATTTGTTACAACAGTAGTTGTAGTGTGAATGTCTTTTCCAAGCTGGAATTTCCCATGGTTTTTGTTGGTTGATCTATGCCCATTTAATTTCACACTCCAGTGAATGGGCTAGTGCTGTGGTGAATGGACCCATGAGCAATTGAAAGGGCTTCACAAAATTCAGGTTTTTTATGTTTCAAAATTTGTGCTTTTGGAACATGAGCATAATCTCACTTTGCATAGTTAAGATACCCACAAATGAAGTTGAAGGGCAGCATTTCTGATAGTGTCAATCTCAAGTAATTTGTTATCTCGCTTTGCAGTATTGCTCCAAAGTCATCAAACTTGTCAAGGCATCTTTCATTCTTTTGCTCTTACAGTTGTGTGAACTTGTATTGCTGAGAAATTAGCCAGTTTCATGCATCCAGTTACCTACTGCTTTCCACCTCAGAAGCTTAATTCAAGAGTTTACAGACTCAGATCCTTCTGTTGTAAGCTACCCCTTTCTTGATGTGATTATCTTCTGATGGTTCATAAACTCCCGACTGAATCATAATGTCATCAATCCCACTTTCCCATATGACATTTCTGACATTTCCCATAAGGTTCAGGGGCCATCCATTTAAAAAATCATCTACCTACTTTTGCCATTTTATCATCAGCACCTTCATCATACATCACAAGTACCCAGGATTGTGCCAAACATTTTCTGTAATCATTTCAACATTGTGAGCCTTTGTTGAAATTCTTGGCTGAGATGGTAACCAATTGTTTTTTTTTTTTTACTTGTTTGCTTTTGGGATCATGGTTGCATGGAATACTGTACATCCTGAGACTTTTATGATTCTTTACACTCAAAAACTGCTTCAAACATTTTCAAAGGCATCATCTCAATAAAATAGGGTATAATCTATTGCCTTTTCTTTAATATGCTGAGCTGAAAAGTATTTGTACAATATAAAATTCACTTTTTTTGCTAGAGATGCAGTACCCTTTTCTGCTTATCTCCAATATTTGGACACTGAAGTAGACTCATAGGTATATCTGATGACTCAATGACCTTCTTTGACTGGACAAAAGTGTCATCAATCTCTTGGTGCAAAACCTTATTTACGACATTTAATATTGGAGCTGGGTGATTAGTAATATTTGCAAATCAATTAATCGACAGGCTCATTAATCAATTACATTTAGTAAATCGATTAGTATAATCTCCTAAAACACCCCCACCCCCCATACAAGTGGGAAAAAATGGGTGTCTGTTATTATTACCTGTAGGAAATAGAAAAATAATAATTAGAATATCAGTGTTTCTTATATCAACTTTTTGTTTCATTTGCACATTGAGTGAAGCACTGATGAACGAATCTTATAGACCAAATAATGATTTTTTTCGAATTTTTTGAGTACAAATATATGTTCAGTTACATGTTCAAATCAAAATGATGGATAAATATAAAAGAACTGGTGATTTTAGAATACAGAAATTTTGTAGGCTGCTGCAATGAATGTTCCAAGGGTGGCTGAGGCAAAAGTAATTTTATATAAAGCTTAAAAGATAACTTTTCACCTACCACCCAAAATATAGCATTCACAACTTAAGAATAAACAACCTTATGGGTTTTACAATTTTATACTATTTCACATTCTGTAGCTCAATTTTCAATAATTCATACACTATTGCCAGCTCCATTTTGGGTGATAAGTGCAAAGTAGTTTTGTAATAATGGTACAATCCATGTTGGATTGCAGTATATTATGACATTCTCCTCACCCACATCTAGCGTTTTCCTTGTAGAGCACAATTCACATTAAGTAGTTTATATGCATGGCTTAATATGTTTTTTTATTATTGTTTTCTGAACTGAAAATTTCCAGTTGTTTTTGTAAGGTATTGTGATGTGCCTATCTCGAATCATTTAAAGTGTGTCAGTGAAAAGCTTAAATTTAAATTTTAAGCTCATTAAACCAGGTTAATCATTAAGCAGTTTCTTAGGAATATTACAGTCTTATATGCCTAGCTTAATTTGATGTTTTTAAAGTTTTCCTTACCCTAAATGTCAAATTATTTTGTAAGGTATTTGGATGTGCCTCTATTGAATTGTGCAAAGATTGTACATGAAAGTTTTCCATTTCAGCTTATTAAGCTATGTCAAGCGTTTTTCCTTGGAAGGTTATATGCAAGGCTTAATTTAATTTTTTTGTTTCCTTACTGAAAATGTCCATTTTTTTTTTGTAAGGTATTAAGATGTGCCTGCCTTGAATTGTCCAAAATTTGTAAGTGAAAGTCTTCAATTTAAGCTCATTAAGCATTGTCTACATTAAACGTTTTACTGTCCCATAAAGTTTTAATATGATTGGAAAGAGCAAAACTTGGACTATCATTTAACAGCAGATACATAAGTTTAAGCTTTTTTTATAGTTTTTGTTAATGTTCCATTCAGTTACTTTTGTTCATAAATTGTGAAGTATTTGTGTTAAATTATATGTCTGAAAGCAACAGAAATTTTCTTAAATGAGAAGACACCAGGGAACTTTAAATAAGATAAGATTATACAACTTAGAGACAGTTTGAATTGATAACAAAGAAAACTATATTAAAATATGACACAGTAACAAATGTACAATGTTTGAGAAAGTTTGATCATCAACAGTTACAAGTAGTTTGCATTGACATAGGAATATATATGACTGGAGAATGCTTAAGACTTAACAAAGTGATTATGTTGATGTTTGGTACTATATTTAAAGTATGTTGTTTCTACTTTAGATATACAATGTTTTTCTTTATATGTTCAGCAATCAAAATAGTCATCAAATCAGAAAAGTTTAGCTAAGCTTTCTGTTTTTAGGAGTAAGAAAGGTGGTTAAAAAATATTCTGATTACTCAATTTTTATTGAATATTATTTTTATGTTTATTTTATTCAAACAATTTGCATACATAAATTGAGTAACTGACAACTTAATTATTTCTAATTGCATCTGTGATATGTTTTGAATTAAAACATTGTTACCCTTATCAGTGACAACAGTAAAGCATGTTCTCATTATTTAATTTACAGAAGATCAGTATGGGAGTACTGCATATTTTAAAAACAAAAATAATGGTGACTATGTAGTGGTATTTCGTTGACATTAGAAATTCACTCACCAAACATAAAATGTGTATATTGTCTTTAAAAAACAATTTGTGGCAAAATATTTTTTTGAAATAGCAAACTTCAGAAGAGGTTTATCACATGAAATCAAGGTAATTTAAAAATTACTTTAAAAGAACCAAAAGAATGTGAATGAAAACAGGAAGATTATTACCATGTTAGAATAATACAGTAGTTTTTTTCTACATTTACAGGTGAAGGGGGGATGCTGTAGGGGATTGTATTAATGAGCCTATCGATTAATTCATTTGCAAATATTACTAATCACCCAGCTCCAATATTAAGTGTTGTAAATAGGGTTTTGCACCATGAGAATGACACTTTGTCCAGTCAAAGAAGTTCATTGATACACCTATGAGTCTACTTCAATGTCCAGATATTAGAGATAAGCAGAAAAGGGCACTGCATCTCTTGCAAAAAAGTGAATTTTGTATTGTACAAATACTTTTCAGCTTAACATATTAAAGCAAAGGCAATAGATTATACCCTATTTTATTCAGATGGTGCCTCTGAAAATGAACAATGAATAGTTTGTTTAAGTCTGGCATT